CTACGCTACCGGCTATAGATAGGACTTACTTCCTAGGCGCTATCGACGCTTCGTACGATTATTGCTACTAGTAGTAGAAGCGCTAGTCGTCGTCTTACGTAGAGCCTTACCCGCGACGCTCTTTCTAGTACGAGAGCTAGCGGTAGTAGTAGTAGTAGCCTTCTTACGTAGATATACTATACTCTTTCTAGTAACTCCGGTCTTATTACGACCCGTAGAAGTAGTAGGTCCCTTCTTACGAGGCGTCGTAACTTAGTTAAGTAGACTCGGTATTATAAAAGTCGTCGAATTAAAAAAAGAGTACGTTACGAAGGTATACGAAGGCGTACGCGGAGCGAGGGTATTACGGAGGTAGTAAATATAGAGCGTAGAGGTATAGGTATCGATACGAAGGTTATATATAGCGAGAGAGGTAGTATCGCGGTATCGCTAGGCAATAGAGTAAGCGTCGCGTAAGCCTATATTATAGTAACGTTAGAGTAAGGAAAGAAGGTAGGTATAGCTAAAAAGGGTAGATACGGCTAAAAAGGCAGTTATAGCAAACTTTGAAATATAGCCGGTATATATAGCTAGTATAGTAATACGGCGAAAGCCTCCTTTTAATAAATAGTCGGCGTAATAATAGTATCCTACTATAGTATAGATATTATTTAGTAATTCGATTACTAGCTATAGTAATCTTATAAGTAACCTAGGCATATTGCTAGGAAATATAATAAATACCTATACTACGGTAGGCTATACTAAACAAGCTAGCTATTTAGTAGGAAGAGGCCTACTACCTTCTCTATATACCGGCTACGAGTGCCGGCTATACCTCTAAATTTAACTCCGCCCTATCTCGGAGGCTAAGGTACCGAGCGGAAATCCTATAGCTTATATTTACTCGGTTGTCGCGGAGCGCTTATAGGTAAGGTATTAGAAAAGTATATAAAAAGTACGAGAAGAGTATCCTAGGATATAGGTCGTAAGTAAATAAGAGTAGTACGCCTAGTTATTTATATAGTACGTTACTCTATATAACTAAGAGCCTATATTATCTCGTACTTCGCTTATAAGACCTTAACTCTACTAATCTACTATCGATCTCCTCCTCGGTCGCTATCTTAATTCTTCTTCGAGGTACTAGACTTAGTACGTATCTATAGGTATATAATAGCGCTACGTATTATAGTATACCTCTAATTTCAACTCCGCCCTATCTCGAAGGCTAGGGTACCGAGCGGAAATCCGATAGCTATTTACTCGATTATCGCGGAGCGCTTATAGGTAAGGTATTAGAAAAGTATATAAAAAGTACGAGAAGAGTATCCTAGGATATAGGTCGTAAGTAAATAAGAGTAGTACGCCTAGTTATTTATATAGTACGTTACTCTAAACGACTAAGAGCCTATATTATCTCGTACTTCGCTTATAAGACCTCGACTCTACTAATATACTATCGATCTCTTCCTCGGTCGCCGTCTTAATTCTTCTTCGAGTTACCGGACTTAGTACGTATCTATAGCTATATAATAGCGCTATATATTATAGAGAATCTCTCGTTAAAGTTTCTCTCTCGTAGCCTTACTATCTACCTCGTAGTATAGAGGATTAAAGTACTAATACTAAAGAATCTCTTTATAGTTAGGATACTAGAGCTCCTTAGAACCTTTATATCTTAGGTCTAAAAAGATACGTATTATAGACGCTCTATCGCCCTTTCGCTTACTACCCGCTAGGTCGCGAATCGTAATATATAAAGAAACTAGTCTTAATATAGCTCGTCTCTATAATAGCTAAGTAAATATAGGGCGCTAGGTTTCTACTTCGTACCTTAGATTTAGGTACAGTGCGGAGATAAAATTAGAAGTATAGCCGGTACCTATAGCCGGTAAAAGGATATAAAAATAGGCCTCCTTCTAGGTTAATCTAACGACTAAATTTAAATTCTAATTAATCCGCTATAAACCGACGCCGAGTTTTAGCTAGAAGCTATATATCTTTATATTAAAGAGTAACCCGCTTCGTATAGATAGTAAGGAGGTTTAAAAGCTTAAACTCGGTTACGAGAAATGCCTCTATAGCTTCCTAAAGAATACTAATCGCTTAAGCTATAAATCGTATACTAGACTAGAAATCTAATACAATTTCTTAGACGAGTCGCTAGAAGGGAGTCTTAGGGATTAATAGCTCGGTCCCTCTTTTATCTTAGATTAGCCGGATCTAGCGAAGGGTAATAGTACCTAAGTTTAAAGCGCCGCTTCTTTATCGTCGACACCTACTTTTTACCCTTTTTCTTTATAGAAGAATAACTTTTCTTTACGATAGTTCTTATCCGCCTACTCCTTTTAGCCGCTTTAGCCTCCTCCTATCTATCTAAAGCCTTCTTGCTTTTCGGTACTATTTTCCGAGAAACCCTTTTCCTTTATATATACCGTAGATAGTTTTGCTCTTCCGATATCTCGTTCTCGCTATAGTCTTCCTATAGTTAGGTTACTTTACCCTTACACTATTCTAGGCTCTAAAGGTAACTTTATACACGTTCGGGCAACGAAGGTATATCGCTAAGACCTAGAAAATTAATAAGCCTATAATCGTAAAGAGACATTTATACTTCTTACCTTCTAGATTAAATAGTCTTCTATTAAACCGTCTTAGTAGGTTCTAGTTAGATTCGTTATTAGGATATTCGCTAAAGGAAGGGGAGGCGGCCGACTTAGTAAGGCCCGAGGAGCCGAATCCTTAAGGTATATTTGTCTTTTAAAATATATAAAAGGGAAGAAGGAGAGGAAGAGCGAATAGAGATTTAGAAATAGTTAGTAGGTAAGCGGAGTACGTTGCTATAGCAACTAGTCTGTTTAGGAATTCGAAATATATTAGGGATATATACCGGCTATATACGCCGGCTATATTACCTTCTATATAAGCGCTTCGTTACTATAGTAACTAGTCTCTTTAGAAATTCGAAATATATTAGTAATATATACCGGCGATATATACTACCTATATATACTAGCTATATTACCTTCTACGTAAACGCTTCGTCTCCTTAAAGCTACTCTAAGCCTATATACGCTTCTGCTTCTCGATCTAGTATCGCCTTCTACCTCCGCCCTCCTCCTCTTTATTATTACTAATAAGGGTTTCGCTTAGACTAAATTTCGTATTCTCTTTACGCTACTAGGTTTCTTCGATCTTAAGGTTTTCTAATTCCTCGATTAAGTCCTTTAGTATAATCTTTAGCATCCTATCTTAGCGACTCTAGTAGAGAGGTAGTATCGGAATACTTTAATAGATTCGAAGGTAGTAGGCGAGTATATTCGATTAAAGCGGCCCTAGTAACGAGCGATATTAAAAGACCTCTTATAGCCTATACCTACGCTTAGTATAGCGAGGACGTCCTGAGCGACCGACGCTATCGTTAGAGACTTAGGCTCTAATCGCTACTATATAGCGAGAATATCGTCTCCGAATTCGTCTAGAAGACCGGTAAGATCTAGATATTATTAGCCCTCTCTCCGAGCCTATAGGCTTAGTACTTACCTACGCGCTAATAGAGATCGAACTCTTCTTTATTTACTTTAGTAGTTGCTTCCTCTTCTACCTCTACTTCCTACCTACGAAATAGGTATAATATCGGAGCTTTCTTAGCCTTCCTTTTCATTATTCGAGCTTTATTTAGACTAGTTTCTTTCCGACACTTATAGGATATCTTTTCTAGGATAGTCTAGTAATACTTAGGCTATTCCTCGTCCTCCTTCTATTCCGGCTTCTACTAATATATATCGTTTTCTACTAGGTCTAGTAAGTACGTAATACTATAGATATCCCCGAATAACTAGAAGGTAGTACTATAATATTTATATAACTTAGTATAGGAGGTGTCTATAGCTTTCGTTATAGCTGCTTTCTAGGGGAGGCTTTCTTAGCTAGCTTAGCTACGGTTTCGTTAAGCTTAGTAACGAGCTAGTTAAAGTACGTAAAGATAAGGTAGATCGTCGGTCCTCGGGTTTTTCTAATCGTAGTAGTAACCTTCGCGTAATACTTACTAATATCTATAAGATACTCTACTTAACGCTGTTTAGCGGCGGTAAGCCCGAGCTACTTAACACCTTCGGAATTCTAAAAGATCTCGAGAGCGGTACGTAAAGTATATCCCTTCGTAATTATATAGAAAGTCGAATCGAACCGGGTCTTTACGTCTTAGGTAAAACGGAGTAGGCGCTAAGGAGGCCGCTTTTACTATCGCTTATTCTATACGATATTCTAGGTATTAGTTTTAGGGCGCTCGATAAGGTTCTTTTAAATAGCCTCGAATTAGTTATATCTCTATAGGCTCGAGTTCGTATATATTACTAGACGACGAAGCTAGAGAAAAAGAGTTAGAACTATACTAGATTGCCGGCTATAGATGCCGGCTACGGGTACTAACTACGGATAAAAGTTATACCTTATATAAACGAGAGCGAGGCTCTCTACCTTATCTCGTCTTATTAGTAAGTTATTACTATAACGAGTTTCTCGGTTTTCGACTTTGCTTTATCCTTATCTAGGATCTCCTATTAGTTACTATTCGATAGTATAATTTTAAGCGTCTTAAAGAGGGCTTAGATCGCGATTTAAACTATATAAGCGAGATAGGGAAACTTCTATAGGGATACGACCGGTACCGACGTCGGCTCCGATTTAATAGGGCTAAGGCTATTACTAGGCTCCTCTTTATCTTTATTATTATACGTATCCGAAATCGTAGCAAGCTTAGTATTTAGAAGATTAAGCTAGATTATAGATATTATAATCTCCTCTATATACTCGACCCTATTAATATAATTAGTAATTTTAAAGACAAATATAAGTAAATTATATATATAACGCCTAATATAATATTCGATTATTACTAGTATTATCCGTAGTTATCTAGATTAGTCTTATAGTTACGCTAACCCTATCTATTACCGTATAGATAAGCTTCGCTATATCCTTACTAGTATAGGAACCTAGAATTTTAGGAAATCCGATTATAAGTTCCTAGAGTTTCTAATCCGAATTAATAAAGTATAGTATAATCGAGAAAAAGGAGGCTCTTATAGTCTAGCTTAACTAGCTATCAATAGTAATAGCTACTTAGTAAGTAGTACGGAGGATCTCCCGAATATCGTCTAACGTAGCCTTTTTATTCTTTTCGAATATAGTACGCTAGATAGTCGCGCCGAGAAATAGGGGGAAGGGGGGGGAGAGTTTATAAGATATAGGTATATCTTCTATATAGACTCCCTTTCGTAGAAGTCTTCCGGAAGACCGTTTATAGCTAGCATTTCGTTTGCTAGTTACTTAAAGTCTTCGGGGGAGAAATTAGTAGCCTTTAATCCTTAAGCTTCTATTAGCGTAGCCTATAATAACTAGCTAGATCTATATAGTTAATTAAAGTAGCCGGCATTTTAGAAGACGTATCTCTTTCTAGAACGCTATATCTATATTAACCCTCCTCTCTCCTTAAAATTCCCGATACCGTTTAGAATAAAGATAGTTAGTAGGCGATAAATTCCTATCCCCTAGTTTTAGGTATATTAAGATTAAACCGTAGAAGTTATAGACAATTACTAGTTAACCTTTAAGTCGAGAAGTCGTATAATAGTATAATACCCCCTCCGTAAAAAACTTCTAGAATATATCCGTTCGCTCCTTACTACCCTACCGTATCGAGTACTTCTATAGTTTATACTCCTTCGAATATAAGTATAAAGGGAACTATATCTTATAGACCTATTAATTAAACTACTCGGTATACTCGGGTTTCTAAACATACGCCTAGCTAGCTAGCCTAGCCTTTTCGAAGATATCCGAGTTAATACTCGATATTCTTATATCTCCGAATAACCTTCTACTTAGACTCCGTAAAGTTAAGGGCTAGGTAGTAGTAGCCTATAGAAAATTCCTACTACTAGGATTCGGAGAGGATAAATCTAGCCCTAATCGTCGTCTAGTACTCGATAGGCTCGAAGGCGAGTATATAGCCTCCTCTCGACGTTGTCGCAATCTCGTTCGTATACTAGACTATTTCGACTATCGTCTCGTTATTACTCTTCCTAGTATAGCGCCTAGTATATATATAATATCGGTCGGTATATTTTAAAGTTTTATATAGTAAGGTAAGGAGTAGTAGATATGTGCTAGTAGCTATAGGGAAATACTCTTTCTTTTATAGTATCGTATCGTTAGGAATAGCTAGGTAGTAAATAGCTAGCTACCTTTTTTTTGTTCCCTAGCTATCCTAGCTAGCCTAACTACTAGATTTTTTTTCTTAGCTACCCTAGCTATTCTAACTACTAGAATTTTGCCTTCTATACGGCGGCTCTCTCCTACTAACGGAACCGAGCTACTATACCTAACGAATCTAGGCTCGGTTTTGGTCTTAATCTGTCCTCTTTTAGTATAAGATACTCGATAAGCAAATACTTAGGCCGAGTCTAACTACGAAACCTAATACTAACTAATAGCTCTATTAACTAATCCTAGTCCTCGAACTCCTTCCGCTTCTTAGTAAAGACCTTGAAGAGCGCCTAAGCTTCGTTAGGTACCTGTAGAGTAGTCGGGATAAAGCTATATTACTAAAATAGGTAATCCTTTAGAGGCTTATAGACAGATTTAGAGAGTGCTAACGCGAGACTATCCTACTAGAAGCTTAGATTCCGGATATAAGCCCTCTCTACCTAAGTAAAGATTTTATATAGTAGTAGTACTCTGCCTACGGAAATCGCTTTCTATTTAACTATTAGTATCTACCGGCTACGAACGGCTATATATACCGGCTATAGAATACTTACTTATACCCCTTTTACCTCTAGTAACTCCTCCGCCGTCCCTAGATACCTAGCCCTAATTTAGCAATTACATTAATCGTAAGCTACTTTGCCTTTATAGACGTAAAGGTATCGCTCTAATACTAATAAAGAAGTTTCTCCTCTATATCGAGGATATAAAGATAACTAGTCTCGATTCTAATCCTTACTAGCTTTTCGTAGTAGCTTTAACGATAATTTTCTAGATTAATAGGGCTTATACCTTAGCCCTTTACTAGTACCTCGTCTCTTTAACTATACTCGATCTACTCCTAGCGCTTATCGTCTATAGCGTTAGGCCCTAAGACTATACCTATTACTAGATCGATATATAGTATCTCCTCGCTTTTTTTAGTTCCTTTATTCGTAGTATTAAGCTCTTTCGCGGCATCCTAAACTCTAGTATTATTATTCTCGGCTATTTAAACATCTCTATTACTATCTATCGTATCGATAGAGGTAGCGGCTATAGGTCTATATACTATTAGTTAACGTTTTAAAGAAAAGAATACCGGCTATAGCTACCGGCTATAGCTGCTAGCTACGGCTATCGGCTAGATTACCTTACGCTACTAGAAACTTACGCTCGAAGACTAGACGCAATTCCTTCCTCCTTTTAGCCTTCTTTTAGGTTATCTTCTTATTCTAACCTTTACTTTTTTCTGTAGGCGCTAGCTATCGATAAAATGCCTTATTCCGTACCTTTCTTCTCTTATCCTTTAATCTTTTATCCTTATCTATCTTCTCCTTTCTCTCGCGGTCTCGTATAGAATTCTTCTTCGTAGAGTACTCCTCTTTAGTCTTACGCTTTTTTCTTTGATGCTTAGGTAAAACAAACTCGCGGTTTTTAGTTCTATCTTCTCTTTAGCGCGCGGCGCGCTTCTCTCTTACTATTTTAAGGAAGGGGGGTAGGGGCGTAGCGTATAGTAGTTATTATAGGTATAGGTATAGAGGAAGAAGTTAAAAGATATAAGAATATCGCGAAGCCCTAATTGTCGCAAGTGCGAGTAGATCAACCTAGAAAGTAAATTCGAGGTAGCTCTAGCATACCCTATAGGTTCCGTACTACCCTACAGAGTGCCCTATAACTACTAAAATTAGTTTACAAATCGGGGTATTGCAAACACCCCTTGTATAACCTAATTACCTCGGATTTCTACCGTTCCGAACAGCCGTAATCGCTCGAAAACGACTAAGTCTACGCCTGCACCTTAGCACTACTACTTCTACCGCTTAGAAGCGACAACCTCTCCTTAGATCCGTCGTTTTAGTAGTCTAATTAGTATAGGAGATAGTGTACGAGAGGATTAATCTATCCGGTGCGGTTTGGGTAGTACATCTACGTATAGCCTTCTACGAGCGCGTTTCGAAGGTATTATAGGCTTACTAATTAAAGGCTTCTAACGACGAGGTTTATAAGAGCTACCTAATAGCTATAGTAGATCAATTGAAGTGTCTTTACTAGGTAACTATATAGGTAATGAATATAGAGCTATAGATAGTGCTATAGTAGGTTGCTCTATAGTAGAAGGTAGCTCTATAGTAGAAGGTAGCTCTACCGTAGAAGGTAGTAGATTACGAGGTAGAAATAGCTTACTTAGTAAGGGCAAATCGTCTAGTAAGGAGGATAGCAACGGCTATTAATGCCTTAATGCCTCGTCGTTATCGTATTGATCACTTTTGCTAGCGTCCTTTAGCAAAGATAGCGGCAATCGACTAATTAGCATTGATTGTAGAAGGTCTATATCTAAGAGGCTATTAAATAGGTTATCCTCAACCTCGTATAGTACGTCTTCTTTACTATCTTCGACCTAAGTAATAAAGCCGTTCTTATTAGGTAGACCGTAGACTAGTAAAGAATAGCCTTCGACAATAATGCGAGGCTTATATATATCTAGAAGGTTGGTATTAGTTAAGGCAACTAATAGAGGCAGAGTTAGCAATGCGGCCGTATAGAAGACTAGTTGCCGCAACGGCCTATCGTTAATACCTCGCTACTTAGAAGCACGACAAGGTGTTAATTTAGCCTCTTTAGCGCTACGTTTAAACTAGTCGTTTATATAATCGTTTATTAACTTCTAGTTTATTAAGGCGTAGTTAGTCACCTACTATAGGAGGGCCTCGTATTGCTAAGCGTCGTTCAGATTAGAAGCCTACGTATCGTAGAAGCGGAAAAAGGCCTATATAACTGCTTCTTATATAGAATAGAAGTATTCCTTAACTCGGCGCTTTCGTAACACTCCTAGAGCCTTATTGATATTAACGTAGGTCGCTTTACCTAACTAGTTGTCGTTATCGACAACAAGCCTAGTATTATACTACTTAGGGTATATAAGATTGCTATTTAGACCTTAAAAGCGGCTCTTATATAACTAACAACGTCGTAGCGTAAGAACACTCGTACTAGTAATATAGAAGCGCTAGATATGCTTGCAAGGCAGGTAATAGCTATGCTAGAAGTAGTAGAAGCATTTAGTACATACGTCGTCGTATAAAGCAGGTAGAGCTATCCGCTAAGTAGGCTTATTATTGTCTATATCCTTACAATACTGTATAAGCTTATTAGCTATCTTCTTCTATACCGAAAGTAGTAGGTATTTAAAGGCCGGAGTGTTGTATTTCCGCTATATTAGCAGCTAACCGTAGGTATCGACAATACCGTTTTATCGTACGCGCTCGCGGATATAATCGTCGAGTTAGAATAGGTGCATTATAAGGCCTAGAAACAGTTAGTTGTTGTTAGTAGTTATAGTATAGAAGGGAAGAAGAATGTAGTCGAAGGAGCCGTTCTAAGGAATTCTAGCTATTCTAAAAAATGCAGAAGAGAGCTTCTTTTATATAAATTCGGACAACATTGTAAATAGGGGACGAATACGCACCTCGCAAGCTCTATTTGCGTATCTAACGCTTATCTCGGCGCTTTAAGTATGCGTAATAGCCCTCTAGTAGACTAGTTATTCGAACGGCTATTAAAAGGGGATCTCCGAGCCGTACCTAAGTCGCCTATCGATCGCTCTTAGAAGCTATCTACTTCTTCTTTAAATAGTCTAATTTCTCGACCGCCTTTAGTATATTATAGCTTAGTAGGTCGCTCTATACAGTCTGAATAAACTGCTAGCATTCTTCTTAGTCTCTTATAATAAACAATGCGTTAGTTATAGCCTTAAAGGTAGTTAGAAAGCGCTTAAAGTACTTCTCGAGGGTTTTAATAAGATAGCGTTAGTAGAGGCGCTAAATAATGCTACAATCTATAAGGCCTTAAATTATACCGAGTTGCTTACTCGCTAAGTCGTTAGTAATCGACTATAGCGGTATCTAAGAAGACTGTTTAGTCTAGTTCAAATCGTCTTAATCTTTAGCTTTACTAGAACAGCCGTCGTTAACGTAGAAGTGCTTCCTATATCTATCGTATTCGCTAACCTTCTTAATCTAGTCGGATTAAGCTATTTCTCGAAGGGTTGAGATTACTATCTCAATTAGGTATACCTGCTCGTAGTCTAGAAGGAAGTGAGCCGCTAGAAGCTATTTAAGGTAGTTATTGCGGACGTAGACTGTCGATAGAGGCTATTTTAGCTTATTCGTACAATAGGTCGAGTCTAATAGAAACAAAGACCTATAGTTGCGAAGGGCTCGAAGTTGCTAGTTAGAAGCCTAAACAAGGCCTCTATATAGCTTTCTATTAAGTCTACGAGACTTAATTATTCGTACGAGGCCTCGTCTACCGCTAAATTTAGCGCTTAAGTAGTCGTATGCCTACTAAAGTTAGGCTATAACCCCTATTTCCGCACTATCTCTTCGCTTATTACTCAATCGATAAAGGACTTCTCGATTAGCGTTGCTAACGCGGTCTCGAGTAATTACTACGGCGCTAGCGTCGTACTATACTTGCTTCTATTTAGGCCGTCTCATTTCTTCTACTAACTAAGCGACTAACGTTAAGCCTAGAAACAGGTTAATATAAAGTCTATAAGATACTAAGAATCTACTTACTAGCTCGAAAATCGAGTATCTCTTTCTATACGGCCTTTATACTATTATTAACTACTAGACTATCGACAAACTCGAGACTATGCGAATAGCACTTATTTAGCGGCAAAAGCATTACGTAAGCCGGTCTTATAACCGTTAAACTATTAGGTAGACTGCGTAGTACGCAGTTATCGAGAAACTCGCTAAATTCGGCTCTTAGTCGCTTCTCGTAGACCTCGATAATAGTTAACTTCGCGCGATAGTCGAAACAAGGCTTCGTATACGCTATACGCTTCCGCTAAGGCCTCTTACGCATCTAAGTAGTTACAACGACTTCTAGAGCTATTTCCGCGCGCTAATAGTCTATATAGCGCTTATAGATGCGATACTTAAAGCTAAGTCGTCGATATAGTCGCCTATTACTATTATTCGATAGGTAGTTCGGCTAGTTCTTATAGTACTATACGTTCGATACGAAATAGCGGTATTCGTCGTATTCGAAGCCTTCTATTCGAATGCCCTTATTACTACTAGCAGGGTAGAAGAATAGGCGCCTTCGATCGTATAGATTTAGTAGAAACGGGCTCTTAAACTATAACAATACGCTTAGTACGAGATTATTACGGTTTACGAGATACACGTACCGGCCGCTTAACTTCTAGCTTACTAAGCAACAACTCTATATCCTTAGGCGACAGGTGTTTAGCGTACGAAGGCTTATATATAATAAAGAGCGTAGAATTAGCGATAGTAAGGTTAAAATAAAGGCGGTACGTAATACGAGGAAGAGGTAGAATAGGTCGATAAACAAACAGATAGAAATAGTCTCTAAATAAGGTCTAGTTTGGCTTCATTGTAAGCAGGCCTATACTATACTATTATAAGGCTTCAAATTAGCTCGAAATTGGACCTCTTAGCGGTCTATATATAGCCTGTTAATAACTATAGAAGTAGACAAGCGCCGTAGCAAACCTAGCCGCCGTAGCGGCGCGATCTACACCCTTGTTTAGGTTAATATACTTATATCTCTAATTGTTGCCGCCTATATAACGTTATATAGGTAAGCTTTCGTAACTATAGCAACTACGCCCCGGTAACGGCAACTACGCCCGACGGCCCTAGTAATAGTAACTACGCCCTAGTAACGGCAATAGCTATTATTAAGGCAACCGCGAGTTTATTAAATATAACCTAGTTACTATTATAGCCGGCAATCGTAGCCGGTAGTCGAATAAGAGTGTCCTTATAGTAAAACTAATATAGTCTCTAGTTTAAACTAGGAATCTATATAGTTTAGAAAAACCAAACTAGAACTAGGGAGCTAGTTTGCCGCTAAGAAACCAAACTATATACATTTAGTAGTTCGTAAACCAAACTTAAACTACTACGGGGTCTAAACTATACTAATACTATTTTAACTATTAACCTTATAGCTATCTACGCTAAGCGCGTTACGATTATAGATAAGAGTTTAAAGCCCTCTATAAGATTCTTAAAGGCTAGAATGTCTATATTCTAGATAGTAGTAGGTAGTACCGTAGGATAGATATTCTAGTAGGATAGATATTCTAGTAGGATAGATATTCTAGTAGGATAGATATTCTAGTAGGATAGATATTCTTAGTGTCCTCTATAAGCGTTTCTATATATAAAGTATACCGCTATTATACGGCGCTATATAGCGCGCTTAAAATATACTCTAAGTATATATATATATATAGTATAATATGCTTTATTAGCTATACGCAATCGAATTCTTCGAAATTCTATTAGTACTAAGGAGTAAATATGCTAGCTACGTAGCCTATGCTACCGGCTACGCTACCGGCTATACTACCGGGTCTTATAGGGAACTAAAAGAAGATAGACATTCTAGTTAAGTTGTATTAGCTTAGATTTTTATAAAAAGAAAATAGGGAAATAGGAGAAAGGTTAAAGAACCTAATACTAATATTTATAGGAATAATCCCTAGTTTCTAGAATATATTATATACCTGCCTTCGTAACTCTACCTTATACTCCCTCTAAATATCCCTATACTATACCTACTAGAAATTTAACTAGGTACCTAGACCTATAGCAGCCTCTGTATCTTTTACTATCTTCTATAAGTTAAAGGACTCCTCGATAGTAGCCTCTACCTCCTTATATAATACGAAAGTTACTTCCTACCCTATCCTTTATATCTACTAAATAACTAAGAGTTCTAAGGAACGAACTAGCATTCGGCCTTAGTATAGCGAGTAACTAGTAGAACGTAGTATAGGGCTTCTTTATAGCTCTTTTATATACTATACCGATACCGAGGGAGGAGCTATCCTAGTACTTAATATTAGAGAATAGTTTAGTAGGAAAGTATTAGAACTTCTAAAAGAGGGCTTTAAGAGAAATCAATTAGTTCTACCTAGATCTAGATAAAGACATCCTACTAAGCATTTAGGGAATTATATAGAGAGCGAAAGGATAAAATATATACTTAATAAGTATAGTTTCTAACCTATACTATAATAGCTTATATATATATACTTTTAATTAGTTAGTATCCTTAGCTAATTGTCTATAGATTTAGGGTAATATATGTACCTTCCTATAACTAAAAATACTAGCTACGCTACTAGCTATACTCTCGTATCTTATAAAGGACTTGCTTTAAGTTACGTATACATTCCTCTACTTCTTAAAAAGTAACAAATTCTATAGTTCGAACCTGCTACTCCTATAGTTACTTAGTAAACTAACCTAAACTAAACTAGATCTTTAGCTTAGTAAACTAAACTAAACTAACCTCAACTCCTATAGGGTCTATACGTAACGTTATATAGGTAAGCGTTTATAACTATAGTAACTACGCCCTAGTAATAGTAACTACGACCTAGTAATATAAATAGCTATTATTAAGGCAATTGCAAGCTGCGAGCGGGCCGCGAGCGGGGTAAATATATCTAGTTAGTACTATAGCCGATAGAAGTAGCTAGTATTTAAATAAAGGTATACTTATAATAAAACTAATATCGTCTCTAGCTACTACGACCTAGTAATAGTAATAGCTATTATTAGAGCAACTACGAGCGGCGTAGATATAACGTAGTTAGTAGTTACTATTATAGCCGGCAGTCGTAGCTAGTAGTCGAATATAAGTATACTTATAGTAAAACTAATATAGTCTCTAACTCTCTAGTTCTAATTAGGAATCCGTATAGTTTAAAAAAACTAAACCGGAACTAGGGAGCTAGTTTACCGCTAAGAAACTAAACTATATACGTTTTATAGTTTATAAACCGAACTACTATAGGATCTAGTCTCTATAGTAATTCTAGTAGCCTTATATTTACGTAGTCTATTTAATACTGCCTTTTTCTTATCTAGTATCGCTATCTAGTCGAGTAGCTCTTACTATATCTCTACGCTATAATACTAGTACTCTTAGGTATTTATAGTCGTAGGATATCGAAGTTTAGAGCGAGTTAGTAGCGAGTCTATTATAATATACCTTGTAACTTATAATAGATATTCTCTTCCTTCTACTAGTAGTTACGCTACTACGCTACTAAAGCTAAAGCTACGCTAAGAATAAAGGCGCGCGGAATACTAGTTATAGCGGCTACTATTACTATTCCTATCGCTATTGCTATCGCTATCGCTATCGGTAGAAGAAGAATATTATAAGGTAAGACGTAAAGTTATAGCGAGTCTAAGTAAGGTTTATTACGATAATAGATATAGTAAGGTTAGTAAGGAAGATATAAGAATAATAGGAAGCGATAATAGGCTTAAGTAAAGCCATTAAGACTCTAGCATACACAGAGCTCCGTCGAAGCTTAGCTTTAGCTGCGGGACAACAACAAGTCGGTTGGAAAGACTAGCGTCCGCAGCGATCGCCGCCGCCGACATCCTGTCCAATCGAAGACCGACTCTGTTGCGGCATCCTACGGCAACATATCGCTAAAACCCTAACCCTATATCGCCTAAACCACCCTAACCTAACCACTCGCGTTTCGAGGCAGAACGAGCATAATTAGGCGCATGCGCGACTAGCTGCGGCGGTGGCCTAATCGTAGCACTAGACGAATAGGCCGAAACCTCGCGATTTCCGGTTTCTTAGAACCTAGCGATTTCCGGTTTCTCGTGTTTCTCGATATATCGTGTTTTCTAGTATCTCGTGTTTCTCGATATCTCGCGTTTGTCGTGTTTCCTCTCTGCGAAGCCGTAGTATAGAATATTTCGCTATAGCACCTAATTTGTATGCTATACCGAAAACAACATTATTACCGACCTCCGCTTTTAGAACGCACGTGATTCCGCAGGATCTTTATAACACTCAATCTCCTTCTCTAAACTATATACTTAATTATTCGTCCTCTCTCGCGCTAGGCGACATCGAATCTACGTTACTGTTACTATGCTATAGGAAAACCGAGATACTATGCTATAGCAAATTCGCGCTACTATACTACAGCAAAAACGATACGAGAAACTATACGCTACAGCAGACTAAGACTATCGCGTGCTATAGCAAAATCGACGCGTACTATAGTAATATCGACGCGTACTATAGTAAAAGCAATGCCCCCGAGAATTGACATCGACGAACATCGTCCCCTTGTCTAGCAGATCGTTAGCACCGAGAACCCCCGTACCTATTCGATATTGCGTGCCCGTATTATAGAAGAAGCTAGTATTGCTATCGAAGAGCGTCTATTAAAAGATCGTTACTTAGAATAGGGCATTTCTCTTATTAGTAGGCCGGTCGCGGAGACGGAGAGTCTCTAGGCACATATTAAGAACAACTTCTAGCGATATTACAGCCTAGGCGACAAGAAGATAGTAGACATACTGCGTGCTAAAGGCTTCAAAATAACGATATAGTAATACTAGCGCCTACGGCGGAGAATGGGTCTTATGCGAAGGATAGCGCCTAAAAACAAAAGAGCACTTTATAAAGCGATTAAACGTGTTCTTAAGACCGTGATTGCTTCTAGCGTTAAGTACGATAGGGGATATCGAGCCATTGCGAGATATCTACGGAGGAAGAACCATTTTATCGGCAGGTTAGTACAAACATTCTTTATTAAGTTTGCACTAGATTTGGCTATAGTACAGTGCATTAGTGCTATAGCTAAAACAGCACCAATATCGCTAGAGAGACCTAATACCTACTAGAGACAGGCCGCCTATCGATGCCGGTACCTTAAAGCTAGAGCGTGTCTATTTAACAAGTCGCACTTATACATCCTTTAAAAGACAATGTTCGCGATACCTAAAGGACAGGTACTAGACCTATATAGCGGCTTCCTATCTCTCCGTACGCTGTTTATCTAGCATAACTATATACACGAATAGTAATACAATTTAGGCTTGAATTTTCCTATAGCACAACGTCTGTATACTACAGATAAATGAAGCCCTAGACTCTCCCTACAAGCAGTGTACTAATTATGTTCTAGAGACCGGATTTATAAGATCGCCCGCAGCCTCGATAAGACACCGTTTATAGCGCGCCGACTCTATAAACCGCGATTTTAGCTAGCGCATGGTTGTCGTAAAGCTATTAGTCCCAATAATGTCTAGTTAGTAGATGCGTACTGCAAGTTTGAGGCCTTCTTCGGCATCTAGATCTACGTTTGTATCGATGTCTTCTCCCGGATGATTGTATAGTACTATATCGGCAACCTCGTAAAGACTAAGTTTTCTACTTTTAAGCAATACCTCTAGACAGTCGTTAGTCGTAGGTATCAACCGAGGGTCGTCCGATCCGATATAGGTGTTAGTAAGCTATCCGGCGTTCAAGGCAATTTCCTATAGTATATAATCTAGTGTGCTACACGAAATACCGCAGAATCCATTCTACTACTAATATATTGCGTAGAGACTCCTATAATAGCGGACGCACACCTCGAGCTGCGTAAGCTCTTCGAGGGCCGAGATCTAGATTTTTCGGACTGCTTCTAGTATACGATAAGTAAAGGCAACAACACCGTAGAGCACTAGAACAGTGAACTCGTAAAGCAGGCTCTAAATACCTAGAGAGATCACTTTAATAAGATTAAGGCCTAGGGACTCTACAATCCGGATCGTGCCTACGATCGTATCGCTTTCCTTGCCGTCTATATACCCGTTATTCGATCTACGGTTGCCGAATTTGTCGAAGACTAGAACACCTACGCTATGCGATACAACGCCGATACGGAAACCTACTATACTAGAGTGCTAGAGTTGCTCTATTACTATCCGGAGATCTTCGGTAATAGTGCGTAAGACTAACGCAAGCTAGTGTATACCGAGCATCTATAGATTTAAGGGTAGATAGACCGCTACGATGAATTCGATCTTAAGGCCTACCTGCCGCTAGTAATATTAACGTTCTGTTAAGACGTCCTCGAAGCGCTTAGTTACCTACGCGAAATTCGTAGCACTAAGCGTAGTGCTACTCGCGGGTCTTAAAAGCTATATATCGAGGCATTCCTCGCCCTTCGGCGTACTATTTAAGCATATATAGCTGCTAGATTAGCTCTAATACTAGACGAGTTCTAGCGGCCTTCTCGTAATAGGGCGGAATTGCAGCTATCGGATCGGTTGAAGGCTATATTTAGCGCTACTAATAAGCCGCTAGATTGATTTAAGAAGCTTTTACTATATTCCTTCGTCGACGCCTATTACAGATCGCCGCTAATTACTAGTCGAGACTAAGCCTACGTTACAATTAATTAGCGCCCTCGTCGCTATTACGTACTATTTATATAGGAGACAGAAGTATAGTATAATGCCTACCCTCTTCCTCTATCCGCTCCCTCTCTCCGTCTAAGCATATTAGCGCAATCGGCAACTAAGCAAGCAATTAGCAACTAAGCAAGCACCTAGTCCTTCGCCGTATTTAATGTCTCGTATTTACTGCCTAAAATGCAGCGCCCGCTATAAGGATAGCGACAGGTTCTACTTACATTGTAGGGCAGAACTTCTAACCGAATAGTCCGATAGCGACAACGATAACGATCTAGTCGCCGCTACTGCATCTACTGTTCTCTAAGGCGGTTATGCATATAGGGACTTAGGCACCTTCAAGAACGTAGGTATAGCTGTAGCATAGAAGAAAGCAAAAGAGAAGCCGAAGAAACGCAAGATCCTAAATGCCGCCTATAACCCTCTCTATAAAGATGCACCGAGAGGTATAGGTATACTAAAGAAGAAGGGCAAGACGTATAAGAAGCCTATCCCCGTCGACTCGAGCTCTAGCGGCGATTCTTCCGGCAGCGAGGATAGGTTAGCTAAAGCATCTAAGGGTATAGGTACCGTAGGCAAGAATGCTAAGAGTAAGGGTAAAGACAAAGCGACTAAGGACGTGCCTATTAAGGCGCTAATACAGGTTTCTTTTAAAGGCTAGATATACGACATTGTCGTCGAGGATAGAGGCTAAGACATACCGATCTAACTCCTAACATATAGCGAGGCTAACTATCTATTCGAGTTTAACTAGAGTCTGCCCTTAAATACATTTCTAGTAGAATTTAAGGCAGTAGACGATCGTCCGGACTAGTTCTAGCGCCGGCTAGTATATAAGGATTATCGAGTAATAGAAGTCCTCTCCCTAGACTATTAGGAACACTGTCTTGCTCGTAGGCTTAGAAAGAACAAGGAGCTAGTACGTATCAAGCTGTCTATCCTAGAATATAGCAACTTCCGGGATCTGTTCTAGTTGTTCTCTGCTAAGCAGACCCCTAAGCGTACGACATTCAATATCAATCTATATAGGTTAACGTATACGAACGCCGAACGAAACACTAATCGACTATCTAATCTATATAAAGAAGAGTAGAAGAAGCTTGCAACTTCTAAGCTAGCGGAGCGCGATCTATCGCTAGCATCGAGCCTAAAGAGCCTATCCGAGTTCTTCGGAGGTTATAACAATGCCGACGACCCTTAACCGTAGTACCCTCCTTCGCTATCGCTACGGTAGTTTAAGATGCTACCGCCTATCTAACTACCTACTAGCATAACAGATAAGGAATATCAAACTAGACCGCCTATAGCAGACTTTATAGACTTTATAGACTTCATAGACGACGACGAACAAGAAGAACTCTAGAAAGCTATCGACGAGAGCCGACTAACGGTATAGTAGGAGGCTACAAATCGGACAGGAATTGGCCCTTTACGCTATCCACTAGCTGTAAGTCGTCCGTTAAAACGCCTAGCGAGTTAGGAACTCCTACTACGTCAATATAGCTAGAACGAAGAAGTAATCGTAGTTAGCGACGATAACATGTCTCCGGATAAGCGCATAGTGCGTAGATAGGCGACAAGTAGCAACTCTATAGGAGCCGCTAACAGTTATATACCGAAGAAAACGCCTATCTTCCGGCTATTAAAGCCTCGTAAGGATTAGTTATAGTCTAAGCAACAGTCGATAAAGCAACAGTCGATAAAGGATCGGTTATAGTCTAAGCAACAGTCGATAAAGCAATAGTCGATATAGGCTATAGAATAGGATATAGAACATATAGGCAGCACCTTGCTACCTCTATCGTCTGCCTTAGACAATACCTACTATGTCTGTTTTAACTTATTTAACCTTAGCAGACGCCGGCGTATTCGTATAGCGTGCCCTAAAGCCGTATACTATTTCTGCGAGAACTGCATTGCTAGGTTGCGAAATAACGGCGATCTATGTCCGCTCTGTCGCGTACCGCTTATATTTAAGCGGTTCTCGCTACTCCGGGAGACCTCGCTACTCCGGGAGACCTCGCTACTCCGGGAGACCTCGCTACTCCCGGAGACATCTACTTAAGCAACTGCGCTAGTTCTAGAGACATCTACCTAACTAGCTACGCCGACGGCCGAGATAACTATACCTATTCGTTCCTAGTCGACTACTAATAGGCATAACGAGACGTAGCCTAACCCGTCCTTTACGACCGTATAAGAAGAAGAAGAGAGCGAACAGATGCTTAATTAAGATAATCAACTCTAGTAGTAGCTCTAAGAACAGTTCTAGGACTAAGAACAACTATCCGAGACATAGCACTAGCGA